TTTTTTTTTTTTTTTTTTAAATAAATAAATCCCCCTATTATTAGGGGAGGAGTAATACATTTCGAGTTCATTTATTTGATATTACATTTTTTTTGTTTGATATTATTTTTATCTTAAAATTAAACAAATCTGCTTCGACAAAACTTAACCGTGCCTAATCATACTTTTTGCGACTCCCAATGCTCTTGGAATGCGAGATTTCCTGCCACCGAGACGAAAATGCCCCTAACTAAATTTATATTTACGATTTTTTTTTTTCTTTCTTTTCTTTCTCTTTCTGTTAGAAGAAAACATCTTATCAGATTCTAAAAAATAAATTAGAAGTTTCTGAAGGTGCAAAAAGCAAATAAATGTGAATTTTAATGGCCCTGTTTTTCTGAAGTTGTCCCAAATACAACTGCGTGGTGAGAAAATTGTGTGTGCGCACTGCTGAGAAACAAGTACCCATCATTCTTTCTCTCCTTTCAAAACAGAAGCGCACTGAAAATGGGTAGACAAACCCTAGCTTCTTCATTTTCATCCACCAGCGGCAGCGGCGGCGGCGGCGGCGGCGGCGGCTCTATCAGTCCGCCGCCGCTGGAAGACGCGTGGTATAGTACTTACCTGAAGCTGCTTCCTCAATGGCAGTCGCTATGCTCGGGTAGCCAGGTAAAGTGTGTATATTCCCCTTCTTGAGCTGATACTTTTTTTTGCTCCTTTCCTGTTGCTTTTGGGGTGGGAAGGTGAATGCGAGGTGAAAAAATGTGATGTTGGGAAAAATTAGCTTCGTAATTTTAGAAGCCAGAGGATAAGGAATCTGGTTGTATTTGTGCCTTGTTAGGGAATTTTTTTAGGTTTGAGCTCGTCTAATCTGACTCTCTGTTTGCCTTTGTTGGGATTTTGGTTTGACTGGTATCGGTGCACATTTTAGGAGTTCTGTGTTTTGATTAAGAATTAGCCAGTTGTTTCGATTTTGCGTTGTTAAGGCATCTGAAAACTTAAATGATTAATCTATGGCAGCTTGTAATGTGCGTACTGATAGTATTCCCCAGTGTTCATTATAACTTGTCGACTATGTGTGCTCCATGAGACTGTGAGTGCTTGATGATTCAACTTTGTGGTGAAATTTATTTTTTCCTAATACTAATGATATGATCGTAGACCATAGCTAAAGCTACTCCAAGTGTGTAATGTAATACTACTGATATGATCGTAGACCATAGCTAAAGCTACTCCAAGTGTGTAATCTCTAGTTTGGTACTTTGCATACATGGGTATGACTGTTTGAAATTTCCACCCTACTCATTTGAGTACTCTGCATCATAGGCTATGAAGGTAGGGATTTGTGGCCCAATCCTTTTCGCATAAGGACCTTTTTGCTTACAAGGAGCTTACAATATGCATAGAACTGCTACACTTTGGTCTTTAGTATTTGTTTTAAGGTTTAAAGTGGAACTGAATGATTACAAAGTTAAACTTGTTCGCAACTTAACTGCATGGCATTCTTTGACAGCAAATGATCCGTATCGAGATATCTAGAGTAAATCAGTTTGATGCTGCTCGTCTAGATGTTGAAATGTCGGCCATGTTGAAAGAACAGTTGGTTAAAATATTTTCTTTGATGAAGGTGAGTATCATGCTGCTAATCTGTATTTACTCAGTCTAGAGCATTATTAGGGAGTTGAACAGGCATGTTAATTTGTTCATTCTGTTTTTGGAATTAGCCAGGAATGCTTTTTCAATACGAACCCGAACTTGATGCTTTTCTTGAGTTTCTTATATGGAGATTTTCCATCTGGGTTGATAAGCCTACTCCTGGTAACGCTCTCATGAATTTAAGGTATAGAGATGAACGTGCAGTTGAAGCAAGAGGAAAAGGTCCGTGGTTCTTTGGTTTTCTTATGTTTTTTGTTGCGTTGCTGTTCTGGATATTCTTACTGTTCTATGTGTTTCTCAATCTATATGTGAATCACTTTTTTGGTTGCCATAGTACGTTTTCTAATATGCCTTCATGAGTATGGAATAGTGAGTACTAAGATTTATTATATCATATAATGCAAATAACACTATCTCAGACTCAGAGGTTTGTTGAAGTTTTTGGATGTGGGAGTGCCTCTTTTAAGAATTGGCCTATTAGAAAAGACAGCTCGATTATACCTTCTCTATAGGTCTACATGGAATTGGAATGAATATATGCTTTCAGGCATAAAATATGAACACCCTACCCGATATTTTAATTTTATCTTCTCATCATATATTGATCGGTGGGGGATGAGAGGAACTTTGGAACAGGTTAATTTTTTTTTTTTTTTTTTTTTTTTGACTCCTTTATAAGAATTTATGTCTGTTTTCTAGGCTGTTATCATGAACACTTTCTACACCTTAGTGTATTGCTACCTCCATTTAAGGTGTCATGGAAACAATAATTGATTTCACACCCTATATTTCATGTGTCATTATACTAAAGTGGAGAGGAGTGGTCATTTCATCATAAGATTTCTAGCATACCTTTTTCATTTTCTAGTCACCGTCCTTGGTTTTGAGGCCACGTGTAGTTTGATCTCTTTTCAAGTACTTTGGGGACAGTGGAAGAAACTTTTAACATTTTCGTTGGTGTGACAGCCATTTGAAAAATATCCTGCTCATCTAACAGTTTCAACTGCTATTATGGAAGTTTTTCATGTTTCTATCTTTAGCGCACCCTTCACATGCAGGCTACATTCTGTCTGGCTCGGAAAACTTGTCAAATTGCTTAATTGAGTGCCGACGAGAGTTGATCTCATGGGTCCAGTATTTTACCTAACTCAATATATGTTTATGCATCTTTTATCATATAGCCTAATATTCTAGATATGAGAGAAGAGGCACTCCATGTTTTAGTAATCGTGATAATGAAAAATGATCTTTTTTATTTTCTTTTTGAATATCTCTTGCTTTTATTATGTATTAGATCACTGACATTTTCACTTAAATTTCTCAGGCTATTATAAATGGATGTATTGTTTCTTATGTTCTTGCAGTTAGAACGGGACTCGAAGGCCCAGGATTAACTGTTTCTCAGAAAATTTGGTACTGTATTGCTTCAGTAGGTGGTCAGTATATTTGGGCCCGCCTTCAATCATTTTCAGCCTTCCGTAGATGGGGCGACACAGACCAGGTATATTACCTTTTACGCATATGTTGATATAGTAGCTGTAGCTTTGTCTTTCTGGGATGGTTAACACTCATACTCTCACTTACTAAGATTTGGATGTACAAGGACACTCTCACACAATCAAATGGAAGCATGTTCACGTGAAGAGTTTAGCAGTCTTAACATTATCTATTTCCTCTCCAGAGGTCTATAGCTCGTCGAAGTTGGTTTCTGCTACAACGCATAGAAGGATTTTACAAGACTGCATCTTTTGGAAACCTACTCCTATTTCTTTTGACTGGAAGGTATACAATTTTTTCAAATCTTTTTGTATTTTGACGTGTTTTTTTGTATATACATTGGTAAATGAAGGCATAAAAATTAAATTTGATGGATAATAGGCATTGGTTCCGACTTCCAATTGAGTGATAGCAAATTTAATGTGTATCTTCGACTATGTTGTTTTTAAGCTCACTGTTTTTGTGAGACAGCTTCAAGACGCCGGGAAATAGAATAGGAAAAAAGGGAAACAGAAAAAAGAAAAAGAAAGAGAAGAGAAACAGTAGTTTATTGAATGCGGATAAAAGACTCTTATTTACTCTTCAGACATTTAAGATATCTTGTTTGTATTGGAAGTGATATAAAGCCGAACATTATTTGTCTGTATACGCATCTTATTTTAATCAGGAATGCATCAGTTCTGAGTTCTGACTCTTATTTACTCTTCAGACGTTTAAGATATCTTGTTTGTATTGGAAGTGATATAAAGCCGAACATTATTTGTCTATATATTCATCTTAACTTAATCAGGAATGCATCTGTTCAATTCAGAGAGCAGGCTGTGGTAACAAAATGATTGTGAATACGTTGGGTATTCGCTGTAACATTCTTTTTTCATCTCTGTCTGTCTAATTAATTCTTAATTTGTGGTATGCTTAAGGTCGGGGTTTACTCACTATTCTCTGTAATCTAAAATTATGGTGGCTGCGAGTTTTTCATATAAATTTTACTTGTGAGTACATCAATGAGTTGGCTACAAATATAGTTAAACCCTATCTTCCGGAGCATGACGTTTTTTTATGAACAGTTTCTTATGTAGTAATGTAGATGAGCAAAAACCTTTTTTCCGTCATCCGAGTTACCTGTTAAAGATTTTGTTAAAAAACATGCCTATTCTTAGAATTATGAACATCAGGAATGAGGTTGCAAGCTAATACTTGCTTGCATATAACAGATATAGGAGTCTTATTGAAAGAGCCTTACAGGCAAGACTAGTCTACGGGAGCCCTCATATGAACCGATCTGTAAGCTTTGAGTACATGAACCGGCAGTTGGTATGGAATGAATTCTCGGTAAGTGTCGACATTCATGAAAACATAAGTTGGAATATTGCTTACGTAAGTATATCATAAAATGTTCATTTTCTCGCGTAATGTCCATCCACCCCCTTTTTAGTCGGAAATTTCTACCAATTTTACCTAACGGTGTGTATTTTGCACCTTGTACCATGGCCCATTGCACCCTGAGTTGGTGTGAAATTGTTTGATCATTCTAGTCAAGCTTTCAGGAGTGTAACATTCTATATACACTGGGATTGTGTTTCCTTTTTCTTTTGGAAAATAACACTCCTATGTGTACCGACATATAATGTGCAGGAAATGCTGTTGCTGCTGCTTCCTCTTTTAAATTCATCATCTGTTAAAAAAATTCTCAGTCCGTTCTCAAAAGATAAATCTTTTAACTCCGAAGGAGATGATGCATTATGTCCCATCTGTCAGACGACCCCTACCACTCCATTTTTGGCAGTCCCATGTCAGCACAGGTAACTTATTGGTCTCTTTTTTAATATATCGACCCTCATGGATCAAACACTAACTTGACGTAAATAATCATCAAGTAGGGGTTCAAATGCTACATAATTCCTTGTTGGTTGTTGCTATAGGTTATGATATAATATTCTGTACTTTTGGGATAATAACCTCTTACAGGAATTTTATCTATAACCCTAGTAAGGTACTGTGTGAATGATGAAGAAGTTATCAGTTGCAATAGAACTTTTGAAAGTCCCTTCTCTATTATAATTAATTGTGATATTTATGTGTGTGTTTTAATCTGCAATATGTCCTTGGAAGTTTGATCAAATTACACCTAAAAATATGTTTGATGACTACAAGTAACCACCTAGAATATAATAAAATGGGTCATGCTACATGTACAACTAGTGTTGACAACATTAGTTGACAACACTAGTTATCACAATCATTGAACAAATCTTAACCTCACATTTTTTTGGATCTCACTTATCTACATGATGACACATCATGGTGTACAAAATAATTGTACAAAATAATTGTACAAGTAGCTTTATTCTAATAAAATAACTCATTCAGGTTGTAATCTGCAATAAAGAAACTAACAATACAAAGTAGTTTTAGATGTTTCATTTTTGATAAATAGCTGGGTGTTATCTTTTTTTTTTCTTGTTACGTAGTTCGACTTAATCCTGATTGTCTTTCAGTTTAGTAACTCTTTAAAAACACGAACGCCCCTAACCAAATTTGATGATCTGTCGCTTTCTGATAACAAAGTTACCTATGTTAAACGCTAATCTAAATCTTATTACATTACTTCAGGTACTGCTACTACTGTCTTCGAACGAGGTGTACTGCAGCCGTGTCCTTCCGGTGCACCCGATGCAATGAGCCGGTTGTAGCTATGCAACGACACGGAGGTACTGTCGGCAAGATTAATCGATGAAGATTTTTTTTTTTTTTTAATAAAAAAATGAAAATGAAAAAATAAAGTAAGTACAATTAGAATGATGTATGCAAGGTGTCCCAAGTCCTGCATATATCACACTATTGAAATTCAGGATGCAGAATTTATTTATACAGAGAAAGTCCCACTCTATTGGTGAAATGATTGTTTCTATGCCTTCATCCATGGACAAAAAGAAAAGGCGAAGGATTTTTCAAACATACAAAAAAATGATTAATATATTTGGAATTACGTCTCTTTGGAGTATTCAAATTTTTTTCATATGTATTTTTTCAATATAGGAAAGTTGGAAATTATTTCTTCTTGAGTTTGAAAACTCTTCCTAACCTCCTTGGAGTATTTGCGTGAGATTTACTTCAATTTTTGGTGATATGTAAGTTGTGTACCTGTATATGTTTAACCATAGGTAGATGAGGCCACGGGTCACCCGGCCTGGAACCGGCCCAGTCAAACTCGTTGACCACGGGTCTGGGCTGGTCGAGGGTCTTGTACTTGTCGACCCTGGCCCACCGGGCTGGACTGGGTCCATGCCGGCCCGGGAAAAACATATTGGTTTTAAATTTTTTTCTTTTTTTTTTTCTTTTTATATTTTATTGGGGCAGGCCCCGGGCCATGGACCCGGCACGGACCTAGGTTGTGCCGGTTCAAGGTCCATGAAACCCAACCCGTCGGCCTGCCTGGTCTGGCCGGGCCGGGCCGGGCATGTGTTTTGGCCATGTCTAACCATAGGCCAATCACCAGTTATCAAATTTTACTAATGATTTTTTTGGATTTAAATATAAATGGGAAATGCGTGTGGCTATGATTAACTTGGTAGTTACTCCAAGTTGGACGGCAAATAACAACAAATGGAGTCGAAATGGAGTCGTGATCAGCACAGAAATTGTCTTTTATCAGGTATTTTATTACATGGATGAATGTGAACTCAAATGGCAATAATTCAGTGAAACTAAAAAAGTACAATTTTGAAGTCTGCACTTTGTCCGCATGTAGTCTAAGGACTTCCCTACCTACAGTAGGCAAATTTTAATATGTTCACTGTTTATATGACTTGAATTTTATTGAACATATTAACATCATCAATTTGTGCATGTCACATAAACAGTGAACATATTAATATGTACTCACCATGGGTAGGGGATATTACTGTAGAATGCAATCTGTCAAATTTAAATAAATACAGCAAAGTTTATTGCCGTATGCATTTCTGAAGTGCAATGCGCGAAAAAAGATGGCATGACACTGGACTGTACCTGGGGTTGGCTACTTTTAACAATAAGGGGACGATGTAAGATTTTTTGTTACATCTTTTTCGAAAAGTTGTGTTTCGTTCGAAAAATGAGATGAAAAGTAAAAAAATAAAAAAAATAAAAAAAAAAATAAAATATGACTTTAAAAAAAAGTGAGCGAGCTAGCTTTGAGATTATGAATGATTATAAGATAAAACTATAATGAAAGTTCATGTGGTGTAAAATAATATATTAGGTATCTATTACTATAAAAATAATGGAGGTATTTATTTGAATTGACAAGTAAATTTTTGCTTAAGTTTTTAATAATTACCATTAATAGTAACTTTTTGGGAAATTTTGAAATTTTGGGCGGCAGAATTTGTTAGCAAAAAATTCAAAATTTTTTGTTTGGATATAAATTTTGAAAACGCACGTAATTAGTTATAGATAAAAAAAATCCAACAGATTCTAACTTCCAAAAAATATGATAACATATTTTCTTATTTAAAAATTCAAATTCGAAAATGTGAGGAGGTGAATTTTAGATTCGATATAAAATTAACCACTAATTTATATCTTATTTAAAATTTAATAATAAAAGACAAAAAAAAAAAAAAATAGTGTGGTAACATTTTTCGAAAAATGTGAGGAGTTCAATTTTAGATTCTATTAAAAATTAACTAATGTATAACTTATGTAAACAAAATTTAATTTTAAAATATCGTGTGGCAATTTTTCGAAATGAATAAATTCTAGGCGGCTGATTTTGTTAGCAAAAAATTCTAAAAATTGTGTTTGGATTTAAGTTTTGAATATGTGTATAGTTAGTTATAGTTAAAAGTAGAGCTGTAAACGAATCGAACGTTCGCGAACAAAAGCTCGAACAGAAAGTTGGGCTCGTTTAATAATCGAATGAACACGAGCTCGTTCGTGAACGTTCGATTATGTTCGTGAACATTTATTTAATATAAATTTATTTTATTTTTTTTATATATTTGCATAATATTTTTAATAAAGTATCTAGAATTTAATATGATTTTATTTATTTTTTATATATATTCGTAATATTTTTAATAAATATTCTGAAAAATAATATTATTTTTTATTCTTTTATTTTCGAGTTTGAAAGAACAAATTTCGAGTTAATAAAATATATTAAAAAAAATTATGTATTAAATTACTCGAACACGAACGAACTCGAACTTTCACGAACAATTAAACGAACGAGCTCGAACACGATTTTTTGTTCGAAAAATAAACGAATGAACATGAAGAATATCCGAACATAAACGAACACGAGCTTGAACCGCTCAAGCTGGGTTTGGTTCGGTTCGTTTATAACACTAGGTAAAAGAACCCAACAGATTCTAACTTTCAAAAAATATGGAAACACATTTCCTTATTTAAAAAACTAATAATAAAAACGTGTACAAAGTAGATTTAATTAGATTAAATTTGATTTTATAATAATTAAATATATGATTGGAACAGAATTTTCTATTAGTTGTATGATAAAAAAAATTAAATAACAAAGAGAAAAAGAGAAAAAGATGATATAGGATAATATTTAGATTTCTCTTCTAATTTGATCAGTAATTTGACTAATGTTGACCATTGAATAGAACTAGAGATGTTAAACGGTCGTTGGCCCGGCGGGCCAGTCTGTTTAGCCCGAAAAAAAAATATGGTCAGGGCTCTTTATTGGTAGCACGTTTAAATTAGGGTTTTTTTAGGCCTGGACCGTTTAGCTCGAAGCCCGTTAGGGCTAGCCCGTTTAACTTGAGTTGGGCGGTGTAAATGTTTGCAGCAGGTAAAAAAATATGCCTTAAGATTCTTTGTATATTAAAATTTTGCTATTCTATTTCACATGTAAGTATAACTTGTTGCGAGTTACATTGATTTTGAAAGATAATTTTGGCAATCTTGTTATTCTAGTTCACAACAAAATATTTAACCCAATCAGAACGGCTTATAAAAAACACATGAGATAAAGAAGTGACAGAATATAAATTCAGCAATATGATACAATATCGTGAAAATTCTCAAAAGTACAAAATAAGTAGTAAAATTGTAATTATAAGTAATAGTTCGAACGTTTTTTTTCTTTCTTTTGAAAAAAAAAAAATGTTATTTAAGAGTTTGTAATGTGTGTTTATATATGAATTTTAATTGTATATATAGAGCGGTAAATACTAAATAGTCGTTGAAAACAATCATTAACTAGCCGTTGTGATTTGTTTTTTTATTTTTTTTTTTATTTTTGATATACTATTATTATTATAGCCCGTTTAGCCCGAAGCTTGCTCGGATTAGGGTTAGGTCACTTTAGTGGTAGCCCGTTTAAATACGGGCCTTTTAAGCCCGAATCGTTTAGCCCGAAGCCTACTAGGGCTAGCCCGTTTAACATATCTTAATAAAACTAAATGATAGATTTATATAAATTTTTTGTTGATATAAAATAACGGGATACAACAATTAAGTTGATAAATATTAGGAACATATATATCATATATAGCATACCACTAGAAAAAATATAATAAATTATGTTTAAATAGTAACTTAACCATATTAATTATCAAATTATGTGCAACTTGTGGTATGTCTATTATTGCTAATATATGAATTGATTACAATAAATGAGTTTTGAAAATCATATAAATTAATATACTTCCTTCATTGCCGAAATTTTAATTAATAAAGAGATAAAATAATATGTCCATTGCTATGAGATTTGAAGATATTTTCTTAATATTGATTTTTTTTTAATTTTTTTTTTCATACAACGGCAACATATATAAATTAATAGGTATGAATTGAATTGACAACATAATAGACATGTTTTTCATTTCCATACGACTGATATACATGAATATACATGGATATCTAATAAAATAAATATAATTATAAATTTCATAAAACTACAATGCACGCATGGAATTTTTTTTAGTGAAGATTTATGTCTATTATGAAAATAGCAATAAATAAATAAAAATATATGTTTTGAAAATCAAACCAACAAATATACGTCCCTTCATTATCGATTTTTTTGACTAATAATGTAATAAAAATAGATAACATATGTCCATTGATATGAAAATATGAAGATTATTAAAGTGGTATAGAATTCAAAAATTACTTTTTCTACAACATGTCTTTTAGAAAGCGAATTAAATACTTTTTTTTTCATAATTATTTTATGTTTTTTTTTTTTTTTTT